AGAAGTTTCTAACAAATATTTGGCCAATATTTTCTTCTGCTCTCTAGAATTTGTGGCCACTGTGATTGGATACCAGGACTGCACAAGAATAGTCTGTTGGAACAAAAATTAACCATAAATATTTAGACATGAAAAATATAGGGTTCTTCCTGAGGAAAATCCTAGCTTTCTCTGGAGGAATGTTCTGGACTTCCACACTATCAGGAATATCAATTAAACATTTCAATTAAACAGTAGGATGCCTACCATGTGCATTTCAGATATAATACAAAGCTCAGTTCTCAAATCAGCAGCAAAGAAGATAAATGCACCAAGCCCTTAATAGTAGAGAACTTCAAGTTACCAAGTTTTTGTATCCAGAACTCCAAAGAAGCAAATATTTTGAAAGACCATGGTGAAGGACCAATTTTCAATCTGTTATGGACTGATAGTTTTATAAAGTACACTCATACCCAGATGTCAAGCAATGTCAAATTATTGTAAAGTTTCTATACATGCTTATTCTTTATTTCTGCATTTAATGTAGGCCTGCAACAAACAGGTCATGAACTAGTACTGGTTTACAGACTATAACTTGAATAGTATCAGTTTAAAGAAGTTACTCATTTATTCCTCTAGGTGGTACAGTATTTTAAGTTTTGTTGGATGTAACATGACTTTTGGTAGTTCATGTACATGAGACACTGAGTTTAGCACTAGAAAATTCTATTTACTATGTTGTGTTTTATATATCCTTAAGCTTTTGTTAAAATTTATTATAAGAAGCTACATAAAACATTTCTGCATATGCTATACAACTGCAAGGTCGCTGACTTATTTTGTAATATAGTGACTATAGGTTCTCATATTAGGAAGTAGAAGAATTGCTAGGTTCCTACTCTTTGGTAAGAACTGTTCCTCCGTTTCTTCTTGTTTCTTAGCTGTCAAGAAACACCAAACAAAGTCTGATGCTTAATCACAGCAATAACATTAATTACTTTGGGTAGGGAATTACTTCTTTCCCATTCTAGGATAATTTCTATTTTTATCATATAAACCTGATAGCATGTTATTTGAAGAAGCTTCAAATCTATTTTAGAAAGAGCTGCTAAAATGACAATGCCTAAGCTGAACCAAAAAATACTTAATTTCTTAAAATTTTACAAAATAAACTTTTAAATACCAGCTAAGTGATCCATAAATAAGTAAAAACAACAAGATTTCATCTTAGACCTGTCAATTTAGTCATTAACAAGTAAAATATAGTATCAGGCTTGGTTAAATTCAGTACATGCAGCTCTTCTCCTAAAGAAATAGTCCATTTCCTCGTCCCTAGATTCAATCAATATGCCTTTGACCAAAAGAATGTAGCAAAAGTCATGTTGTGTGACTTCCAAGAACCTGTTAGGAGGTTTTGAAATTTCTACTCTTGCACTTTGAACTATCCTGCTGTGAAGCAGCCTAGGTTATGGAGGCCTAGTAATGTTCAGCGTTCTGTGCTAAGGCCCCACACATGGGAGTGAGGCAATTTAGAATGCCTAGTTAGAATGCCTAGCTAATGCTGGTACGTAAGTCCAAGTAAGACTACCAGAGGACCATCCAGTGAACCATAGAATCACTGCAAACAATATTTTATTATGCCAGTGTGTTCTGGGGTAGTTTGTATCACAACAGAAAGCTGATGCAACTCCTAACTTAGATCAATCACCTCTAATCTCTGACCATTCTGTTCTTGAAATTCCTTTTTTGATTCTACTGCCAGTGCCTGCGATTTTTCCACCTCTAAACTTTGGTCTCTGTGATTTATTCTTCATATTGCCTCTGGTTATCTATCATTCTAAAGCAAGCTTTATTTATGTTGATTCATTCTTAAAAAAAAAAAAAACTTTAATGGCACTCTACTTCCTGTAGGGAAGAAAAGCCAATTCTATACAATTAATGTTTTCTATTATCTTGCAGTGTTTACCATCTAAAAGTTTATCTTCTACTATACTTTTTACCTTTACAATGCAGCCCTCAATGGACTGTGTGTTCTAAAAACATTGGTCCATGACCTCAACTCTTCTTCACACTTATTTAGTAAGCTTTTAAAGGTACCCCCCCCCCACACACACATTTCATGATTCCTTAGCAAAATTACCTATTTTTCTGGTACTACTTCAGCATTACTTCTTCATATTAGTGGTTAGTTAAGAATGAATTACCTAAAAATGCCATTAATAAGACATATCTTACTCTAATTTGGGTCCAGCAATTTTTTTTTTTTTTGGCACATAGCTGGTACTTAATTGATATTCATTTGTTGAATTTAATTCAGTCAACTCTCATTTTTATTCAACTCAGATATCACAATATTATCTAGGAGTATGAGAAAAATATAAAACACAATGTGAAAAAAACTCTAGTTGAGTTATAAAGGTAGAAGATTGACCTTACCCCTCGAAAAATGCCAGGGAAGGAGAGAAATAACTATCAGACACAGTGATCCTTCACATCACCATTTCCTTTCCATAGTCCAACAAAATCAGCTTAAATTATACTCTTAATAAAATCACTCCCCTTTTAAAAAGATCACTGTAGGTGTAAGCAAGGGAAAAAAAGGCAAGTTAGTTTGGGTTAATCTGAGGTCTAATGAAGTAGGCCTTGTTGGAACTTAGCAATGTGCCCACAAATCAAGATAAAATTTTTAGCTGAAAATGAAGATTAAGGTAAATGAACCTATAAATTTCCTTTCAGAGTGTTCACTGTAATGTCATTGTGCAGGATAAGAACTTTGCAGAGTTAAAATTGGTGTGGTACAGAACAAAGGTGGCACCTTCACTGTTCAGTTGTCTGCCCACCTCTCAGGCCTATTTCCCCAGCTATAAAATGATGACATTTCATCACTGTTTATCTATCATTTTTAAATCTTTTTTTTTCTTTTAATACCAGAAAGATATGGTTTTGGTTTTTGGTAGACGAGAGGAGTAAATTTAGCCCAATGTGCTTGCCCCTCAGCCCCTTATATGCCTGAGACACCTTGCAGAACTCCTAGGTATGCTTAATTTTATTTTGAAATCAGATGAGAGGATTCAGCACCAATACTAAAACTAATCAAGCAATTCAGCAATTTTAGTGTATTTTTAAATTCAGTATAGTATTATCAGGTGAATAACAATCAATGAATAGTTATTAATAACCTAAAACATGCATCAGGAAAAGGAAAAGAAAGACTACTTGGTAATATTGTTCAAAATGTTTTAAACCTGGGACATCAAGTTTGTTGGGAGTGGTAACAGATTTCAAATACCAAATGGTAAAAGGGAGTTAGAGATTTATAAGAATAGGATGAATTTCCTCTATCCTCACACAAAACAAAACACCTCACAAAGGATGTAAACTACTACAGAGAAGTCTGTTCTGGAGATAGGACATTAACAGTTAACTTAAAAAAAGGGGGGGTGCTATCAGAAACTACAAGGAATAAAATTAGACCATAATTCTTGTGCCTCAGATAAACATTACTGCCTAGGACTCAAATGATTTAAAATAACATACATTAAAGGTAAATTCAATAAAAATTGTTTCAGATTATAAGCAACTAAAAGCTATGGTCTACATATACTTCTTGGTCAAAATTTAAAAGTCCTATGTTGGATTTATGTTTAATAATTTATTTTATTAAAATGATATATGTATTTGTTAACAAACTATCACTCTAATATGACTGATATAAACCTTTTTACTTTATGGTTTTCTAACAAAAGTACCCAAAATAATAATAGTTATTAAACATTTCTTTTTAATGTATTTTTCACTTTCAGAAGAGGATAAAGGAAACTGTACATGAAGAATGGTAGAATGGTAACTAAATCATTACTTTCATAAGTACTTGCTTAGGGAAGTTCAACTAGACATAGGAACAGTATGAAATCCTCAGTCAGAAAAACTAAAAAGAAAAGAAAATGTTTACACACAGATGATAAATTTTCTTCCTGCCTGGGATTCTTGGCTTTTAAAGCAGAGTGCTAGTCTAGATGATATATTTCAGAACTCTTCTACTCTGTCAGTTTAGTAGCATGATGTGCGTGAGAAAGGCCCTGGGTTTGATCCCCAGTCCTACCTCCACAAAAATGAATGAATGAATGAATCCCCAACAACAACAAAAACTCATAAAAAACCCCTGTTCTACTAATAATACTATTCCTTCAAAATCAAAATTTGCCAGTATAAAACTAGTAAGATACACTCTCTTTTCACAGTTAACTCTATATAGCATACAACCTATTAAAACCTTATTGAATTAATTGTACATTTTACTATTATTGACCTGTGATGAGTTTATGGTCTGTCAAGATTCTAACAGTGTTTTAACTTGGTCAGAAATGTTATTTCAAAACATTTCAAACATATTCTTGAACTTCTTGCTTTTCCAAAGTTTTCTCAGTCTTTAAAAGTGAACTTCAAATATATTATTTTACATCATAACCAATTATTTTAATCAATAAAATTATTAGAGTTAGTTTTAACAATGAAGTAAACAACTTTCAGTAAGGTGGTATTTCTGTATTTACTTGCTACAGTATTTCCTCTTATAGATAAAATTCGTATTAAAATGTTATGAAACTAAATAGATTACCATTATCATAACTGTGACTATGTGAAAACACATGACTACTTAGGTATATATGCAAAGAAAACAAAAAAGCTTTATAATGTAGACTAATACCCCATAATGTGCCTGTCTCTTAGTTTTGGAAATTAACCATATGAATAGTGAATCTTGCTTGTGTTATTAAATGAGAAGTTGAGAAATATCAAATAGTAGACTCTAGTGCCTAAACATCAGAGAATATAAAATAATTATTAAAAGCTAAAATAAAATTCCACTAGTCTGAATGGAACAGAATATCCATAAAATGTATTATGTACCTTTGCTAATTTTCTAACTTTGCTCTACTATACGTTTATAATTACAACTAAAAAAATGGAAGCTAATTGAACTTTAAAAATAATAATTCTCCAATTTTATTTACATAAAAATCTTAGAACATTAGAATTCAATGGAAAGAACCTTAGAGAGCATTTAACCCAACTGTCATTTTATAGATGAGGAAATTGAGGCCTGGAAGAGTTATTGAACTGTAGAAAATTATGTAACTTTATTAGTAGCAAATTCTCAACTAGAATCAGTTCAATAATAGTAACCTTCAATTATTATTAAATAAGAATTTTTTAAAAAACAAAAACAATTCACCTCAATCCAATTTGTAAGCCAGTAGCACTCTGGATCAGTGTTTTCCACTGTGAAAAGAACGTTTCCTCTGGGAATGACAGACCCTTCAGGAACAGCCTTTACTTCTATTGGAAGATGCCCATCGTACTTCTGGTAGGAAACAACAATGCATTCATTCATTCATTCAACAGACAATGCTCAACTGCCCATTTTATTAATGTTCTTTACATTTTACAGAAGCTAAATTCATTGTTATAGAAACAGCAATCACAGATGCTGTTATACTGTTACACCTACCACTAAAAGAGGTAGATAATTCCAAACTAATCAAAACCAGTTTTCCCCCTACTTGTTCAGAAAACAAACAAACAAAAAGGATGAGTTTATTTTTCTAACATTTGAAAAATATTCTAAGAACACTAATTTTATTCTGTACAGGTCATTTCCATAATATAAAGGCTAAAGACAAAGATAAAATAAAGGATTGCTATGAAGGATAAAACAAAGTGGAGAGAAGAAAGGAGTAGAGAGGATGAGAGAGAAAGGAAGGAGGCAGATTTCTGCAAAAGAACCTTAAATAAATTCTTTATTCTGATAGTAGACCTGAAATCATGAGATAGCCAATCTCAGCACTTGGTGATGACTTAAGGAACTTCTTACTACTATAATAATTCCCTTCAAATTAGGCTGAGAGTTAGTCCGCTATATAATATGTTACTAGGTATTTAAATGTACACCTCCCCAGCTTTATGCCCAAGGCTGTGGTTAACTTTTGGCTAGGAAGTCATGTTATTTCAAAAAGCCTAATAATTTATGTGATTTGGAACAAGATAATTGAATATGTGTGTGAGAAAGAATATTCATAACGAGAATATTCTGCATGATGTAGCATGAAAGTACTCTCCCTTACAAATCCTGCCTTGGATTCAAAAGCAAACGGAAGACCTAGGGCAAGTCATTCAACAGCTCTAGGTCTCAGACTCTGTAAAATGGGGCTAGACAAGATACTTTCTAGAGAATCTGATTCTCTAAGATTTCCTGAACACATAACCCAGCAATGATGCACCACTCTGGAAGTAATAATAATAAGCACAGGACCTAATTGATTGCTGTGTTTTATTCTCACAACATATCTTACAAAGAGAAATGAGGCAAGTGCAGCCCAAAGACTTTATTGACCTTATTTAAGATATGCAGCACAGTGTGCTTCTCTAACTTTTTCATAGGTACATAATTACCTAAGAGTAAAACTCAGTATTTTAATATAGGCATGAAAGTTAAAGTGATTATTGTGTTTGACAGTCTATATAATGTAAGAAAACTTTCATTTTTGAGACGTAAATTAACACAACATTGTGAGATGCTAACAGATTCTATTCCCAGACTATCTATATAATACAGAAACCATCAAAAGACATTCAGCTCTTATGATTCAATTCCCATTTCTTGGCATTTAAGAAGTTTAAGCAATAAATTTAAACACACCAGACATTATTTAAAGTACAATAAAGAATAAAAATCAACTTAGTGGATCTATACTAAAACATTCTAACTTTAGTGAGGGAAATGTCCCAGAATTATTATGTAGTGATAGACTTAGGGCATCTATTTTCAGTCAAAAAACAGAATGAAATTTTAAAATTCCCAAATAGCCATGTCTTTTCTTAATTATTAATTTATTTTCACAAATAATTACATGTTCTTAGGTATATTTTCAAGAATGGATCAAACTACCTTTCCAAAAAAAGTTGTTATTTAAATTATAATTCATTCATATAATAAATTACCTAGACCTACTATAGATCATGTGCTAATGATTTACATGGAGGTAGAAAAATCAAAATGTTACAGGAGTACATTTTAACAAGAATGTCTAATACAGCAATTATATTCAGATTGCAAGCAGAAAAGAACTATAATTACAGTCTAGCCTTCTATTCAAAATCCTTCACAAGAAATTTTGAACTAAATACAAAACAAAAACAGATCAAAACACAAAACCACTTTTTTACCTCAAGAATGTAGTTCCAACCCTTTTCATTAAAGACATCATCTTGGAAATGTTCTTTGTATACCTCTTTGGCTTCCTGGATTTTCTCTTTGGTTACTACTTTACCTAAAAGGATACACATGTTCTATTTATATTTCTAAACACATTCTGTGAGTTGCTGAATTGTCATAGCATTAATGTCTTCAGATATTTCACCCATTCCATGGGTTAAAACAAATAGCAACAGGTTAAATGACTCATGTAGAGTCAACAGCAATCAGAAAAGAAACTTGTACTTCTAATCACTCACTCTAAGCATAAAGGTTAATTTATTTTAAAAGCAGACGCACAATAGAAAAAATTATTACTTATACTAGTTTTTAAAAAATCACAATAAATTATCTATTATTTTAGATACTCTTTGAGATGATTCAAACATTTTTTATGTTTTCTAGCAGAACATTCTCACTTTATTCATAAAGAATGTGATATCTTCAGGACTAGTAATCTAGTAATTTTTGCCCACCCCTGAATACATTTATTCTTTTGGCTATAATACAAGGCTAATAATAGTAGAGTACCTACTTAGAGGATGATTGTGAGCTAAAAAAGACAGAACAATTTATAATAATGCTGGTCTAGAGCACGCAATCAATACATTTTGCTTAACCATATATAATATCTTATAAAGTTTTAAAGCTATAGAGCTCAATTGAGTATATCATTGATCTTTGGAAGCTATAAAGTTAACTAGTAAACTCATTTAATATACCTTGGGCAACCTTGCCACAAAGAAGTACTTCTGATATCTAGCTAGATTTTCAATAGCATAGCACATCTGAACTGTCTGATCTTAAAATAACCAAGAAAATGGAAAAGACTTATCATTTGTATAAAATTAAACTTAACCTATATTCAATTTTAAAATTATTTTTATTATAAAAGTTGCAAGATGTATAATGTCTTTGGGAATTGTTTTCTCCCTAGAAATATGATTATAAAATAGATTAGAAATAACTTTTCAAATAATAAAGCACAGAAATTCTTGGGGGATTTCCTGGTTTTAAAATGCATTTGAAAATAAGTCCACAATTATAGGTAGTTTTGAAAAATAAGTCTTGAAGGTAAAACTGAGTAGTATAATTCTAGTTATAATTGCTATCATAATTCAAAATGAGTTTCCAAGTCAATAAATTCTAACTTTGAATTAATGACTAAAGACTATTAGCAGACCAGATTAGCTTTTGAACATTACTTTTCAAATTTTATTCCAAAACTTATTGGTTTCAGAAAACCTTTCTCATACTGAGGACACCAAGCATAAACGCCAAATTCTAAGATATAATGCATTCAAATTAACAGATTAAAAAAAAGATTCTAAACAGACTCTAAATACTTAAAAGTAATTAAGGATTGGGGATATAGCTCAGAAGTAAAGCACTTGCCTAGCATGTGCATGCCCTGGGTTCAATCCCCAGCATCACAAAACAAAAATAAAATAATTAAATATCAAAATTAGACTATTAAAAATTACTTCAAATATTATAACAATATAGAAAAAAACATGAAGTTACATAAAAGCAGTATTTTAAATGTACTAGGAAAAGTAGTACCTTTTAAGTACTTATTAAGAATGTACTGCAACCCATAAAATACTGTTTCCTCGTATTTCACCTTCCTTACTTTGGAGTTTTCAGTCTTCTTTTCACGGCATTCAAAGTAGGAATAAACTTTACTTGTATTGGGTGGGTACTGTTTATAGTGAGTAACCTATATAAAGAAAAACACTTTAGTTAGAAAACACCAGAAAAGGGCTGGGCATGTAGGCTGCATGATAAATGTTGGCCTAGCATATGTGAGGCCTTGGGTTCAATTCCCAGCTCCACCAAAACAAGATGAAACCATCAGAAGAATAGAACATAAGTCATAACAGAAAAGGCTTGAGGTTATTTCAAAACCTGGGAAACTACTTGCTATTGATCAGCTTCTTTTCCTGGCCATATGGAATTAAAAATAAGTATTTTAATAGTTCAGTATCTTAAAATCAAAACCAAAAGAGACTACCAAATTTTATAAACAACAAGACTGAACTCAAGTAGGTACAAAGCTTCTAAATTGGAAAAAGGATTTCAATTGGTCTTGAGGAACAGTCAGCCATTCATTCAGAAAACAGAAGCAGCTTCCTGGGGAGCAATCATACAAAATAATGAACTGAAACTTAGCAATTGGACACATAATGTATTTGTATTCCTTATCTGAAGCACTTGGGACCAGAACTACTTCTCAAATATTTATATATAATTATGAGATCTTTTAGACAGAAACAAATTCTTAACACAAAATTCATTTGGATTTTATATATACCTCATATAGTGCACCCATGTTTTGAGTGCAACCTGTCACATGAGGTCAGGTGTGGCCTTTTATCTTTATGATATCATGTTTGTGCTCAAAAGTTTTGGATTTTGCAGCTATTAAGAATACAAATAACAATAAATGTTGGCAAGGATGTGAGGAAAAAGGCACACTCATATATTGCTGGTGGGACTGCGAATTGGTGCAACCAATCTGGAAAGCAGTATGGAGATTCCTTGGAAAATTTGGAATGGAACCATCATTTGACCCAGCTGTCCCACTCCTCAGTTTATACTCAAAGGACTTAAAAACGGCATACTACAGTGACACAGTCACATCAATGTTTATAATATTCACACACACACAATTCACAATAGCTAAATTGTGAAACCAACCTAGCCCTTCAATAGATAAATGGATAAAGAAACTGAGGTATATATATGCAATGGAATATTACTCAGCATTAAAAGAAAATAAAATCATGGCATTTGCAGGCAATTAGATGGAGCTGGAGATATCATGCTAAATAAAGCAAGCCACCAAAAATCAAAGGCCAAATGTTTTCTCTCATAGGTGAATGCTGATCCACAATGGGGGAGAGGGTGTGGGTGCGGGGAGAGCATGGGAAGAATGGAGGAGCTTTAGATAGGGGAGGGGGCCTGTGGATAGGAAAGATGGTGGAATGAGATGGACGTCATTACCCTAAGTACATGTATGAAGACATGAATGGTGTGACTGCTTTGTATACAATCAGAGAAAAGATTATATGTGTACTGTGAATTGAAATGCATTCGCTGTCATGTATAACAAATTATAATAATAAATGAATAAATAAATAAAAATATGAATAGGTTTCAGCACAAATTTCTTAGAATCTCAAAAATTATCTGCTTTTGTTTAAAGAAAATAAAAAGTAAGTGTCATAATTTGAGTTTTATTTTAGTTTTCTCCACATTAAAACATGTCACTAATAACAAAACAAGGAGAAGAATAACATGTATTTGCCTGGTTGAAAGAAAGGAATCATAAAGCTTTAAAGTTTATAGTATAAGGTGAATCATGACAATAATGGAATAAATCTTTGTGGACTAAATTTCATGGATGACTACTGTAAACAGAAATTATTTTCTTGTTTAGTTCTGGTCTCAAGTTTAGGAAAGCCAACGTTTTCTTTGACTGCACAGCTCAATCTCAGTAAATCTTGGCTCTATCCTAAAGATAGTTTAGCACAAGCATTCCAAAATGAATGCATGTTCATGGTCACTTTCTGAATGGCAATCCTCTGTTCCCTCTCCAATGAAGCATACTTACAGTTTCCTTTCTGTTGCATACAGGCAATCTTGGGGTCAAATCTTTATAATAATATGTGATCTGAGAGCCTAGGTTCTTCAGGAGACTAAGAACCCTGTTTTGCTCAGTTATAAGAGATATCTGATATCTGGGCTTCAGCAATACTTAAATGTACATGTTTGGGCTTTTTAAGGTCACAACTTAGGGAATGTTATCACAGTCAGTTTAAGTAGCTAAGTGAGAAAGCTAATACAAAACTCACAGCAATTAAAACAAATTTCAAAATAAGATAAATATATTTATGAGTGATATTTCAGAAATAAATACCATAAGATCATTACCTCAACTACTTAAAAAATACATATCAGAAAAACCTCCATCTAAAAATATACCCAAGGTTATGTAAAAATGAAATGTACAGTTTACAATCTAATAACTCCAACTCTTTTAGTGGAGGTTAAGTAGGGAGACAGAAGAAAAGTCACTCATGATGAAGTCAAATTTGAAAACAAGGTCTAGATCACATAGTGCAAGTTTATAAAAGTCAGATCCACAGGTAAGATTTCTCAATAGCCTGACCTTCTTTACAGTTCGGATATTTAACAATGCATCTTACAACAGATTTAAAAGCATTACAAGGAGCTGGGGTTGTGGCTCAGTGGTAGAGCACTCACCTCGCTTGTGCGAGACCCTGGGTTCAATTCTCAACACCACATACAAAAATAAACAAGTGAAATCAAGATGTTGTGTCCAACTACAAGTAAAAAATATTTAAAAAAAAAAAGCATTATAAGACTAATTATTTGCCTCTTCTGAGAAAGGAAGACAATGGAAATGTCTTTGAATACTCCATCAGGATCTAAAATTATACTAAAAATTTTCCATCAGACAAATACAGTTCTGGACAATAATTACTAATGTTTATAATTTTGAAGTCTTAAATTAGGCTTACTCACCTTTCCTTAAGTATGAAAACAAATTATCATTTAAAATACAAAATTAGTTTCTAGTCTGTTTAGTCATACATAAAGTATGTTCTAAAATCTTAGAGAATTTATGAAAACTGTTTCAGAGAATAGAGGTAAAGAATTTAAACTGTTTAGGCAAAGTCACAAACGAAAGTATTATTTACTATTAACTGTCTGCTAACACCTTAAAAGTCTGTAGACTACAGAGCATGTTTGGATATATTTATATGGTATATATACATTGTTTAAAGTGAAAAAAATTTTAAGCAGAGTTTCTTAGTAAATATTCAAAGAATTCAATCAGTAGATGGCAACTCTTTGTTTTGCTAATTTATTGTCCTCTTCATTTTATTTTCTGCTAAACTGGACACTCTGAACATCATCAGAAAATGGGATGATATGACATAAATCAAGAAATAGTTATAAACAGTTAATACGTTCACAAATATATACCCAGGACCTACTATGTATCAGGCATTACTATGTTTCAGATGCAGAGGACTGGCAAGTAAAATAGACATGGTACTAATTCTCACAGGGTTAATGAAGGCTTAACTGGGGGGAAGAGAAAAATAATATATAAACAATAATTTCAGATCAAGATGGATGCTATGAAAAATGAAGAGAGAATGATGAGCTAGGGGGACTTGGTTAGTCTTCTATGAGGTGACATGAGCAAGGCCTAAGTGACAGACAGAAAATGCTTTAGTATGAGGGATAGAACAGAAGGCAGGCCAGTGTGGTGGGTTCTTAGAAATCAGAGGTAGGCAGACATACAGATAAGATCATTGGCTAAATAGGGTACTACAAGGAGTTTTGATTTTAAATTAAGCTGGGGTGAATATGATCTAGTTCACATTTTATTTTTTTGATGTTGGGGATTGAACACAGGGCCTTGTCCATGCTAAGTACATGTTCTACTACTGAATTGTATCACCAGCCCGTGATTCAAATTTTAAAAGAATCAATCAGCTTGGTGGTACATGGAGAATGGATTACAGGATGCTCAGAGTGAAAACAGGAGTTAAGAGACTACTGCCCAATGCTAGACATGTTGAAAGAAGTGAACCAGTATTTTTGGAGGGAAAAAAGAGAACTAGGCTGAGGGGCTGGATATGGAAAATAATGGTAGGGAAGAATTAAAGATGCTTTTTAGTTTTTTTGGTTAAGCAAGTAGGTTAATAATGGCACCATTCATTGAGACAGGGAAGCCAAGACTGGGGGAATGGGTGGAGAAATTGAGAGCTCAGTTTTATATATTAAGTAATACAAACAAGAAGTTTCACAGTATTCAGAAATAAAGTGAACACAAAAGGAAGCTCCTAAATCATGTTAACTTTTTAGTACTACTTTAACTTCTATCACTAGAGAAGATTCTACAATAAATATAAAATTCTTCACCATATATAGAGAAAGAGAAAATATCTGATAATGTCCTCGGCCAACCTTACCATTAACAAAAGTTTCCTAAACTGGCATGGTCCTCCTGCAGGTAACAGAATGCCACTTATACAATAATACATGTATGGTAAATACAGACACACAGGAAAATGTAGCTTTTCAACAGAATTTAATTTCAGTTATGTGACTGACTTAGCTAATGAAAGTTAAGCTTCTAAAAATTATTAAACTTGATAATAATAACTGATCTTATTTAACTGCCTAGATCAAGGTTCTAACTCTATATAAAAAGCGGCAGCTTTTTCCACTATGAAGTGCTGGCCAATCAACTAAATAAAAAAAAAATATACATATATTCTCAAGGTTATATATCCTTGTTCCAAGTATGACAGTTGAAAAAAAATATGAGGCATATTTAAGATGCATACAATCTTTCTGAGAGGTGTAATTTTATCTAGATGTTTCTCTAGATGTCTCATGATGTTGATGTCTTTCTATAAGATGTTATTCCAAGATCTTTCCTCCCACAATAGGATCACATGGCCAAAGGCAATGACTACTAACCTAATTTTTCATACTTTTATTTTTGAGAGGACATAACAAAGAACAATCATTAAGATAAATAAACAAATAAATACACACATAAAAGCAGAAGAGGTAACATAGCCAAGGTCATACAGCAAGTTATGTTGTTATACAACACCTGAAAGTATCAGAAAAGGATCTACTAGCCCCACACTGGTCAGGACTTTGTGCTTCTCCAAACTGAATGTGCTTACCAGGCACAGTGGCTCATGTCTGTAATCCCACAGGCTCAGGAGGCTGAGGCAGGAAGATCACAAGTGTGAGGTCAACCTCAGCAACTTAGCAAGACCCTGTCTCAACAGACAAGATCTTCCATTAATATGCTCCAAAAAAAATAAATAAAAAGGGCTGTGAATATAACCTAGTAGTAAAGTGCCTCTGAGTTCAATCTCCAGAACCAAAACAAAACAATCGAATTAAAAAAACTAATATGCCCTAAACAGAAAAGTCATAAACAATTCTTCTTTTCAGTATTATTTAGGATTACTCAAGTCCTGGAAATCTGTTGCCCCTGAAAATAATTCATTGCTCTTCAGCTATGAAGCACTAAACACTTCTAAGTATGGCTTAAGAATTTGGGGGTTAAATTATTTGGGGGAAAGAGAGAAATTCCAAAGATGTCTATGTATGATCATTATATTGCTTCTCTTAAACCTCCTGGTGCAAAATTTCTAATCACTTTTACCTCCTTTGCCACTCCTTCAAATCAAATTTCATCAGTTCATAAAGGAGGACATCAGCTGCTTGTACTTTCTTAAGTTATTATGAGATTATTACTGACCAATTTATCTACTATAAAGTAAATCCTTATTTATATGATTTTTGTTGCCCAAGTTTTCCTTGTAACTTATAAAACTTACTGGGAAATTTGAAATATATGCAAAATGTCACAAATATCTATATGGATCCACAACAAGAAAGCACAGGTAGTCTCTAGGGTACAAATTGAAGCAGCTGCCCCCTCCACATGAGGCTCAGGCTGCCAAGTACATTATTATGCCAGCACTTTAGTATTAGTTCAGAAGCAGTTAGACAGAGGCAACTATGAAAAACAGGAACATCTCAGAGGATAATACTAGGAAGAACTAACTTCCCTATATGGTAATTCTCATCTTTCTCCAAATCTTTTCCTTAAAAAAGCTCAAACTTCTAAGATTTGTTAATTCAGTCATTAGAGGAAATAAAATCTTCCTTCCTGAATTCTTATTTATTCATCACTATAAATAAAAGTTCTTGAAAAATTCTCTGAATTTCCAATATTTAATAAATGAATAGTTGAAAATGTGCTCAGTTCTAGATTAACAGCTTATAAATGATCTTCTGAGAAGCAAGCTACATTGGACAGCACATTTTATAACCAATGTGAGATGTGATTTAAAGTGTACAACGCCTAAGGATTAGTTTGTGTACTATCTGTCTTTTCCAATTACAGTACAATTGACAAGCTCTTCCATTAATTTGCTACAGGAAAAATGTTCAGAAATGTTAAAACTATTTTCTGCTGTGGTTTATTACTAGCAATTATATATACCAGGAGTGGGATTAAACCAGAAAAGCAACTAGAAAAAAAAAAAAAAAATCAACATATTTGGCTGTCCTCATCAACACTTCTAGTTACTTAGTTCCCTACTTTAATTGGCCAAAAGTTTTTAAGAAACTGATATGGACACATAACATTCTTATACAATTTCCAAATAAAAGTTTTATTACTTTTAACCTCATTATTATTATTTATCTCTCTTCTTTACCTAAGGTAAAAAGGTTAAATAAAACAGAAAACAGGCTACAGGGACCACTAAAAACCCAATTTTAAGGAAAAATGAAACTTACAGACTAATTGTTACCGTGGAACACACAATCTGTTTTAGTATACTGCTGTAACCCCTTGGTATAAAACAAATCAATCTGGATCCTCTTGAGGGATTTCTTGAGGGGAAAAAGTGAAAGCTAGTACTAAGGTGAAAATCTTCTGGAAAGACTTCATATAAGACAGGGAATAAGATATACCAGCTTGACTTGAAAATGGACAGGAATGGGGCTGGGAATGTGGCTTAGGCGGTAGCGCGCTTGGCTGGCATGTGTGCGGCCCGGGTTCGATCCTCAGCACCACATACCAACAAAGATGTTGTGTCCGCCAAGAACTAAAAAATAAATATTAAAAATTCTCTCTCTCTTCTCTCTCCTTTCTCACTCTCTCTTAAAAAAAAAAAAGAAAAGAAAATGGACAGGAATGAAATTTATTAAATGAGTGCAAATTCTAATAGTGTAGATAAGTATGACTTGGCAGGAGATTAGAAAGCTTCAAGGTAATTCACTATTCTAATTAAACGTATTCCAGAAAATTGATGTTAAACCAGTTTTACATTCTTCATATATAATGCCTAGAAGAACAGCACTCCCTTTTGTTTTTAGGCTAGACTTAACTTCCATGAACATTTCTCATTTACAATTCAATCACTGCATAAGCCAAAACACAACAAAAAATCTGAAAATTATTTTAAAGATTTAGTTAAGGCAATATTCTACAAAACCATTAATGAGACATTTCTAAAATCACTACTCAGGATACCATAAACATTACACTTGAACCGAGAGAACAGAAGCAGGTTTTAGGGTCAAGTGAAGGACCATACTTGATATTATAATGGTCACGCAATAGTGTAGATTTCCACTTTAAAATTTCATTTGAAAGATCACAGTGTTGAATCTTGGCTCTGTTTAAACGAAAACATATCTAAGTACTATTAACATAATCATAAAGCAACTGCAAAGAAATGGACAAAACAGAACTTAAGCAAAATGGAATTCTCTAAAAAATACTCTTCCAATACTGGAGTATTAAAATCAAAAAGGAAACAAAAACATGAAAGTATAATGCTTCATCATTATATTCCAATGCCCCATGTTAAAAGGTAAATACTAAAATTTAAAACTAAAATTTATTTTGTGCAAGTGGGTTTTCTGGTCTGACATCTCACCTTTTAGGTGTTTTTGCTAACAAAAGTTGGCCAAAGTATAGTCCAGTTTATTTGAAATAATTTGAAAACTAAGAGAAAGAGTATTTGCTAGATTTTCCCCTAGTTTCTCCTTTGCTAATGTGTGTGAGTTTCAAATAAAATTAATGGGACAGTTACACATGCAAGTGTCCAATAAGCATACGAAGCAATGTTGTGTCATTTCCCTCTCTACAAGTTCTCCAGTGTTAAAACTCCAGTTCCTCTACCTCCTCGTGTTTCACTTTCCTTTTCACAGAAATCCTAGTGATCTCAAAGGTGTAAGAGCACATTGGCTTCTGCCACAAGGGACCAGAAGTGATCACTAGGTGCAAAGGAGTTTGAAACGCAGCCCAGTGGAGTAGGATGGGGGAGAATCCAGCAAGGCTACCGGGCACAACATGTGTCCTCCGCACCGGAGCCAAAGGATCAGGAACGTGGCTGCTCCAGCGACCCTAGCAGGACCTCTCCCACCTCTTACTCAGGAAAAGGACATACCTGCCCAGCAAGGGGCGAGCGCGCGGGATCGGCTCGGCAGGGAAAAGCCCTCTCCTCCCTCCACCGCTGTGCTCCAGAGGCCGTTACCCAACTGGTCCAGTCCTCGGACGAACCCTCGTCCAGGCCAACCCAGCCCGGGGCCAAGAGGCCCGCTCCAGAAGAGGCTGTGGGCGCCGGCACGCCGGCGGGCTCCGCGGGAGCCCCGAAGCCCGGCGCCCCGACCCTGGCCGCCCCCCCCACACACCGCACAGCCCCAGGCCCCGCCTCCTGCCGTCCATCCCTCCATCCCTCCTCGACCCACCTCTACTCCACTGCGGCGCCAGCTCCACCTGCCCCATCCCGCGGCCGCCGCCGCGCCTTCCCGCGGGGCCGCCTCGCGCTGTGCCCCCAGACCCGGCCGCCGCAGTCTCGTGCTCGTCCCTGACGCGCCCCCAGTCCTCCCCTGCCCCAGCCCCGAACTGTACCTTGTAGGAGTCGGTGGCCAGGAGGATGTTGAACTCGGCTTCTGCCGCAGCATTCATCTCGGGCCGGAGTAGAGGGGGCGCGCGCCGTGAGCTCCCCAGCGCGGCTGCGAGGAAAGAGAAAAATGGGCTTCACCGCGCTCCGTTGCTTAAGTCACCGCTCGGTCTGAGGAGGAGGAGGGAAAGGGGGAGGATAGAGCGTGGGGAGGGGCCAGGGAAGGGCGGGACGGGAGTCGTGACGCGGCGGGGGCGGGGGCGACGGCGGCGGTGGCTCACACGTTAGGGTCGGCGTTGTCCAGCGGCCTCCTAACTCGGTTCCCCGCCCCGCCCACCCCGGGAGACGGGAGGGTGGGCCGCGGGGCGCTGCTGCGCGTGCGCAGGCGCAGGGGGCGGGGCGGCGGGGAGGACGTGAGGCACGCGCTCTTCCTCGGAGACGCCTGACCCGGGAAGCTCGAGCGGCCTGCCGCCTGGGCGCGTGACCTGGGCCCTCGCCTCGGTTTCATTTCTCGACCAGCGCGGAGGGGCGGGACCTGGGGGGCGTTCCCAGCCTCGCCCCTCTTGCAGGGAGCCAATTCGCCCGCGCCAGTTGGGATTTTTCTGCCCCTCTACCCAGTCCAGGCGGGTTCTCCGAGTCCACCTGAAACCCTGAGGGCCTCCCACCGCTCCCGCCTGGACTCCGCACGCGCTCAGTTACCTTTGTCTCCCTCTTGGATTAAGGATGAAGCTCTTGGCCCCATCCTCCTTACCCTCTTAGCCCTCTGTTTAGAATCCGAGGAGCTGCGGTGACGAATGAGGTCTGAGGGTCCTTTAATTTGACGCGTGTACTCCGCTTTCGTCGAGTCCGGTGACTGAGGTCTTAGATCCTTTGAAGGATGCCTTGACTTTCCTGGAGAAAATTGCCCATTTCGTAAGGTGGAGGTTGAATACAGCCTTCACAGCTTTTGAAGGGACACGATCTAATTGAATCTAATATTGCCGGGAAGTAAAAGGCAGCCAGCCACGGCTTTGATAGCGTGCGAAACTGACTTTTTATTATCCTTATACTTGTTAAATCCTGGAAAACGAGTTTGCGACCCCCAAATAAAGAAGTGAGATGACGTCTGATGACTTGACTGAAATACCATAAGACCACCCATTTACTTCTTATTCATAGTTGCATTTTGACATAACATTAGTGTTCCCTTTGCATGTTCATGTTCGTTTAAAAAAAAAGTTTCTACGATTTAGGTTTACAAGATATAAGTAGAGAAAAGCAATTTAATGAAAATCAATAGCAGAAGTCTCATCCCCCTCCCCCAGAGGGGGAGGAACTTGTGAATTGGAAGATATATCTCAGGGAAACTAGGAATATGGTTGATATTGCTTCAAATAAAAGCTTTTAGGTCCAGACTATGTCTTGAAGTCAACACACATCCTTGCCTTTATCCATATAGTTAGGTAGAAAATAGGGCAAAGATCATGAAATTGAGAGAGGTCTTCAGGCACTTACCACGGTAGTAAATACTGCAAATACATTTCGAATTATTTTCAGCAATAAGGTTTAAAACGAGGTTTCCATTTTTTCCTTGTTAATTTGTTTGACCCCATGTTTACTGGGGAAAGTTATTTATTTTTTTTGTTATTAATGCTTTATTGTTAAAAACAAAATCTGAATTCTCTGCTGGGGAATTAATTTTTTAAAAAAATGTAATCTAGGTAATTTTTTAGAAACTTGAATTGGGGAGATTTTGTTAGATTAGGCAGTGTATTTCAAAGAAAGAAAAAGATCCTTTAGCCCCTCTTAATTTGGTGTTTTTTCCTTCATTCACTTAAAATTTACATAACCTACTTTACTTACAGGACAAATTCTTATTTGTTGAGTTTTCTGGAATCCATGTATTTACAACTGACCATTGTTCTATGCTGTTTTATGCAGAAAAAAAAATAGGATTCTGATTACAAAGTGGGCTTTGTTTATGGTAGCACTTTAAAAAAAAGGCAAATTTGATCTTGCAATCTTTGAGTTGAATTTGCAGTTTTAAAATGAAAAAGTCAAATATCAGTACAAGTAAAAAAACATGTTAACCTTGCATGTGTACTGACATAGCTTGTTAAAAGCAGGAATAAGGCCTGCACAAGTAGTATTGAACTCAGTCCCCACAGCATTCTCTAGAAGAATAGAGGGCAATCAAGTTATTATGGTTTGGATCTTAAATATCTTCTGAAGATCCATATGATAAAGACTTGGTCACCAGCCCTTGGCAGTTATTAGGAGGTGGAAGCTTTAAGAGGTAACAGAGGGAATGCCCTTAAAGGGCTTTTGGCCCCTCTGCCTCTCTTTCCACTGTTTTCTGTCCTCAGAAGTGAGCTGCTTCCTCTACCATGTGCTTCCACCATGGTATGCTATGGCCCCATTGGCCCAAAGCAACCATCTACTGAAATCTCTAAAACCGTGAGCCAAAATCAACCTTTCTTCCTTCCAAATTGATTATCTCAGGTATTTTGTCACAGCAACAGAAAGCTGAGTAACACAAAAGTCATGTGACTCATAAAAGATCACGTTTGCTGAAGACAGAATTAGGCATATTCTTATGATTGTACCTTCTACATGGTTGTTCCATAACAATTTTGAATTAATCAGGGTTTAGAAATAAAAAAAAATATCACCAAATACAAAGAAGTTCATTTTGAAATGACTTCTCTTGAAAGGCAACTTTAAAATTAGTTGTATTTGGGCTGGGGATGTGGCTCAAGCGGTATCGCGCTCGCCTGACAAGCGTGCGGCCCGGGTTCGATCCTCAGCACCACATACCAACAAAGCTGTTTTGTCCGCTGAGAACTAAACAATAAAACATCAAAAATTCTCTCTCTCTCTCTCCTCACTCTCTCTTTAAAAAAAAAAAAACTAGTTGTATTAGTTAGCTTAGCTTTGCATTGCTGTAACCAAAATACTTACCAGAACAACTTAAAGGAGGCAAAGCTTATTTTGGCTCATGGTTAGAGAGGTTTGATTCATGGTTGGCCACATCCATTGCTGTGGGCTCAAGGTGAGGCTGAATATCATGGCAGAAGAGTGTGGTGGAGGAGCACTGTTCCATTCATGACAGCCAGGAAGTACCAGACGGTAGATCAGGGACCACAGGGAAGATAAACCCTTCCAGGACAAATTCCAGTAACCCCCTTCCTCCAGCCATACCCTACCTGCCTACAGTTACCAACCAGTCCATTCAAACTAGTATGGGTTGTTGGGCTATAGCTCTCAAAATCCAATCATTTCACCTCCAAACATTCCTGTATTAACATATGTGCTTTTAGAAGAGACCTCATGTCCAAATCATAATGCTTGTATTTAGTATCTGAGATCTTTCAGTAGCATGTAAAATATCTGAGAATCTGTTTCTCTCTGGTCACTGCAACATCACAAGTAATAACTAATATATAGACTCAAATGCCCTCCTCACGTAATTAAAAACTCTGGATTAGTCTACTATTTTTAACAAACAGCCAAGTAAGCACAGCAAATTGGTCCATCAATTCCTTGTTTCTTACCCTTAGAGTGCTGTGAAAGACCTGAAAGTCACATTTGATCAAAGTGGGTATTAACTGCTACACTCCTGTTTTCTACACACACTGTTAGACAGCCTCTGATGCACTTTGATATTTTAAAAGTTGTCTCAGATATCCGATCTGATTGCACTTCAGGGGGAAAAAAACCCACGAAAACAGAAGACTCAAGAGAAGTAGGTGTTGAATTCACCCACCTGCAACCCCTGACAGTGGTCCTATTTATCTCCCTTTTTAGTCACCTCTAGAAATACCATTTAGCAACAGTTGTCACAAAGACAGATGTAAAAGATAAGCTTTTAAAAATTAAACTTAGTTTTTTTTCTTATTCAAATTTCCAAGGCCCTCTTGGGACCTCCCAGAGCTTTAATTTCCTAGGAAAAGGCCTTGTCTACAGAAAGACATAGGTTATCTTCATAGAACTAATTATTTTTCAGTGCAGCACTCTAAAATGACTCAGTCTGCTGAGACTTTTACAACCACAAAGAGATACAGAAAACTACTGAGTCTTAGTATAAAAGTACAAAAGTCTAGAGTAACCATGATCCACAGATGATAAGAATTGGTGCAGATGTATAGATTTTTCACAAACATTCCATTGCAAAGTAGTTTTGTACCTTGGTGGTGTGTTTGATGTCTGTCTACTCTCCTCACCCACTATTTTCTGGGCAATGCTGAGGTGATAAGCAATCTGATGTTAAACTCTTATGTAAGTCTTATAGCCTACCCGATTTCTTCCTATTCTATGTATACAATATGACAAGTCTTAATTTTCCCATCTTTGTTAGTTTTTGCTTTCCAGTATATCTAAACCATTTTTTCAATTCCAAATCAAATAAAATGGAAAATAAGGGCAGAAAGCAAAAACAAAAGATTTAAATTCATCTTTAAAAGTAAGCAATTGTGCATGTTATGATGTTACATTTAGGGATTTGATTGTCATCATCACTTATAACTTTTGTAGAAGGCCACTTGTTTGAGACTCGATAGACCAAATCAGTGGCTGAGGGAATCAGATTGTTAGAACCATAAAAAGATGTCTTTTAATTCAATGTTTTATCAAAACAAGGTATGCTAATCAGTTCTAGTACAAGAAAGAAGTATCCAGTGGCATCTAGATACACATTTTTAGTTTTAATGTTTACACATTTTTGCTGAGTGTCAGAAAAATGTAAATGTTAGGTGGGTGGTGGCAACTTGGTGGTGACTTGGTGGCTACTTAGAACAAAGCAGCCCGCACCTGAAAAGAACATCAATCAGATGCCGGCGGAAATGCCTGTCAATCGCCAGATCTCCTGACTAACATCTGTCAATCAGCAAGACCCCCTGGCCAATCCTGGAGTTCAGCCAACTCACCTGACCAACTCCAAGGGGCAAGGGACCCTAGAAACACCTTTTCCTATCCTGAGCCCTTCCCTTCCTGCTGTAATCCCCATAAAAATCCAGTCCGGTGGAGCTTCCACACGGTTTCTCCTCAGACCCTTCTTCTGTCCCCTCTGTGGATCTGATCGAATTCCGCCTGGGAGTGATATCTCAATAAAGCCTCGTTCAATGGCCTTTTTAA